ACACTTCGTTATGGCAGCCCAAGCAAATGATTATGCCAGGTCTCTGGTGCTCTGCTAGGTCTTGGGAACTCTGACACCCAAAATGTTCCAGTAGATACGCCAGAGTGATATAAATCACACTTAGAATCCAAACTCCTCCTAGCCTGGCCTCTCCAGCCCTAGGTGCCTCCCCCCTGCCCCGGCTGGCCACCACTCCACCTGACAACACACCCAGCTTGCTACGCCTGCTGCCTGGAGCTGTTTTCAGGCCATTTCCTTCCTTGTTCTTGCTTGTTATTCAGGTTTTGTAGAAACATCACCTCCTCCAAGAGGCCTTCTTGGGCATTCATCCCCCCAAATTGATTCTCTATCATGTCACCTCTTGTTTTCATGGTGAGTAACCTAATCCTTCCTTGCTCATTTACTTACTCAATTCTTGTCTCTATCCACACTAGAAGTGTGAGTTTTGTGAGACCAGGAACCTTGTCAGTTGTATTAGTTTCACATTGCTGCTATAACAAATTAACCCAAAATTTGTACCTTAAAATAATATAAAAATAGTACTAGGAAAACTGGATATCCATATGCAGAAGAATGAAACTAGGCCCTTATCTCTTGCTATATCAAATCAAATAAAAAAAATAGACTAAAAACTTAAATCTAAGACCTGAAACTATGAAATGACTAAAAGAAAACATTGGGGAAATGCTTCAGGACATTGGTCTAGGCAATGATTTCTTTAGTGGTATCCCCCAAAGTGCAGGCAACTAAAGTACAATTGGACAAATGGGATCACATCAAGCTAAGAACTTCTGCACGGCAAGGTAAACAACCCAAAACGTGAAGAGACAATTCACAGAATGGGAGAAAATATTTTCAAGTTACTCATTTGACAAGGGATTAATAACTAGAATATATAAGGAGCTCCAACAATTCAATAGGAAAAAATTAAATAATCCAATTAAAAATGGGCAAAAGATCTGAATAGACATTTCTCAAAAGAAGACATACAGGTATATGAAAAAATGCTCAGCATCATTAGTCATCAGAGAAATGCAAGTCAAAACTACAATGAGATATGATCTCCCTCCAGTTCAAATGGCTTGTACCAAAAAAGACAGGCAATCATGAATGCTGGTGAGGATGTAGAGAAAAAAGAACCCTCTTATACTGCTGGAGGGAATATAAATTAGTGCAACCACTATGGAGAACAGTATGGAGGTTCCTCAAAAAACTAAGAATAGAACTACCATATGACCCAGCAATCTCATTGGATACATATCCAAAGGAGTGGAATTCAGTATATTGAAAAGATATCTGCACTCCCATTTTTATTTATTGCAGCACTATTCACAATAGCCATTTGGAATCAACCTAAGTGTCCATCAGTGGATGACTGGATAAAGAAATTGTGGCACACAGTAGAGTATTACACAGCCACAAAAAAGAATGACATCCTGCCATTTGCAACAACATGGATGGAACTGAACAACATTATGTTAAGTGAAATAAGCCAAGAACAGAAAGATAAATCTCACATGTTCTCATTCATATGTGGGAGCTAAATATTAAAAACAATTGATTTCATGGAGACAAGAGAGTAGAATGATGGTTACCAGAGGCTGGGAAGGGTATCAGGGAGGGGATAAAGTGGGGATGGTTAATGGGTATGAAAATACACTTAGATAGATAAAATGAACAAAAGTTGATAGCACAGCAAAGTGACTATAATCAACAAGTTACGGTATACTTTAAAATAACTAAAAGTGGAATTGGAATGTTCCTAATATAAAGAATGATAAATGCCTGAGGTGACAGATGTCCCAATTACCCTAATTTGATTAATTCACATTGTATGCCTGTATCAAAACATCACATGTACCCTATAAAGGTATACAAATAATAGTCATACCCATACTAACTAAAAATAAAAAAATATGATAGATTTATTATCTTATATTTTTATAGGTCAGGAGTCCAACGCTGGTCAAACTGGGCTAAACTCAGGGTCTCTGCAGATCTGCATTCCTTTCTAGAAACTCTAGGGGAGAATCTACTTTCTTGCTTTTTTCAGCTTTGAGAGTCTGCTACATTCTTTGGTTTGAGGCCCCTGTCTCCATTTTCAGTCTTTGCATCTCTCTCTGACTATGGCCAGGAAAGTTTCTTTGCCTTCCCCTCCATGTGATGACACTGGATAATCCAGGGGAATCTCCCATTTCAAGGTCCTTAACCTTAATCACAGCTGCACAATCCCTTTGCCATATAAGGTAGCATAGTCACAAATTCCAGGGAGTAGGGCGTGGAGATCTTTGGAGGGCACTGTTCTATCATATCAGGTTTCCCCGTTTCTATTTCTAGTGTATAGAACAGATCAGGAGGTTAGTAGGTGCTCATTACATTTGCTGAATAAATGAATAGCTACCATTTATTGTGCGGGTACTAGGTGCCAGGCAGGTGTGACATGCTCTATGTGTGTTTTCTCATTTGCTCTTTACCATAACCCTGGGTGATAGATTTTAACCCCATTTTACAGATGAGGAAATTATGGCTCATAGAGGCGACATGACTTGCCCAGGGCCATTCAGCTGGTAGGCAGCAGAGTTGGCATTCGAACTTTTCCACCTCCAAAGCCCAAAGTGTATACTCCCCTCTTTCCTAGTTCTGGAGGTTGTGTCAAGGCTGGGCGTGTCTTGCTCATAGTTGTCTTGTTTCCATCTGCCCACCTTGCCATGTCAGCCCTGCCTGTCATTAACACAAAAGTGGATTACAGATCGCTTAACGACTGCCCGCCTCCCTTTTGGAGGGAAAACTCCTCAGCTTCTTTTAATAAAGTCAATTCTGCCAACCGGACATGAGGACTGATGGGGTATGTGCTTTTATGCTTTGCCTCTCCACGTGTGGCCCAGGCACCAGCGGCGCTGGCATCACGTGGGTGCCGAGAGCGCTGCTCCGGGCTCTGCGTTTGCACGAGATCCCCAGTGGTCTGCACGCACGCTGGCCCTCGAGGCGCCGGCGTGAGGCGGCCTCACAGACCCAGGCACTCACTGGCGATGGCAGGAGGTTGGACTTGTTATTTTAGTGATGAGAAAGAACCTCAAACTCTCCTGTTCGTGAACGCTCCCAAAGGCCCTGTGAAGTCACTGCTTTATCTATATCAGAAATAGGGAGGGAGAAAATAAGACACGGGCAGATTAGAAAGACTCAGATTCTTTTGGGGGAAAAAAAAGGAAGAAAGAAAAGAAAAACACAACACTGAGTGTTTCCTAGGCCATCTGTGCGAAAAAATAACAAAACCAGCCTTGAAATACCAGCGGGGAAGGACAGTGGAGAGCTTTCCTTGACAGAATTGTTGGCGACGCCTCTTCCTGGTTCAGGGGGAAATATTCAAATCGATTTGTAATATTTTTCTTCCTTAGCATGCTTGCAACTCCTAGTAAAGCCAACAACCAGCTTTCAAATCTTTTGATTCTGCTCATCCTGTGGCTAATAATTTCCAGTGTGCCCAGCAGGCTACGTAACATCCCTTTCCTGGGGAAGAATTTCTGTGCCCGGGCTGGCAGCAAACCGTCCTGCCCGCTGCAGCCAAGCCCACCCTCCCGCCGCCGCCTCTGCAGCAGGGACCCTCCCGTGGGTGTAGGGAACAGTGACTTAGTGTAGGGAACAGTGACTTAGTGTTCCGCAGGGGAGAGGGAGAGAGAGAGGGCTGTCTCCCAAAGGGGAGCCTCTTCTTTTATAATCTGGCGATGAGAAGAATTTCCTCCCTGTTTCTTGGGAAAGAGCTGATAAAGGACATTCTGTCTGCTGCTATTTATGTATACCTAGGTGGAACAAGTCCCCAAACTCTACCCTCCCAGCCCCCTCTGGAGCTGGCACTCTGAAAACATGGGACAATAACGAAAGCCAAGAGCAGGCAGCCTGATACGACAGGGCTGGGCCCCCATCTTCCTGCTCCCCGCGCCCACTGCTGAAACCCACCAGTGGCGGCACTGTGGAGGGGTTGGCTTCTCCCCCATCACCGTCCTGAGAAATGTTTTGGGGAGAGGGGCAGCGGGAGGGGACTGTTGGGAGGATGAGCCCCTCCCTGCTTTGTAGCTGCAGCCACCCTCCCCTCCCCCCACACAGATCTTCGCTCAGCCACGTGGCATCACCTACCCTTGCCTGGGCAGGGGCTGTGACCTGCTTTGCAAGTTTCTGACACTTGTGTCTTCAGTTTATCCGAATGAGCTGAGTGGCTGCAAAACAAAGCCCCCAAACCCCAGGGCTTCCTGCAAGGGAACCTGCACTTCCTGTTTACAAGCCCAGGGTGAGAAGCCCCTCGGACCCTTCTGCTTCCTCTGAGATCCCTGAGGTGTGAGGGCAAAGGTTGTCCCTCCCGCTGCCTGGAAAAAGAGTACCGGGGCTGGGAACAGGTGAAGGACACAACGCACTTGCAAGTTGGGGGCGTGGGGGAGGGGGAGGGGGGAAGGTGGCAGCAAAGGCATAATAGCTGAGACCCCCATCCTCGTCCCCCTCCGCTCCCCCACCTCCTTCCACCGTGTGTCCCTTGCTCACCACGTTTCCCTGTCCTGGATCACAACGAAACAGTGGGCGTTCCAAGCAAAGGGCGCCCTACCTTCAGCGCGAGAGCTGGCATCAAAAGAGGTGGGTCCCAAGAAAACCTGAATGACCCAGAAGACATTCTGTCCAGGCGAGCGAGGGGGTGGCAGTGCCTCAGGAGATGGGTGGCCTCAGTGCAGGGCTCTCTGTCCTGTTGCAGGGATGTCACAGAGCCTTGCTACTGGGTGTGTCCAAGGACCGGCAGCGCCGTCCTCGCCCGGGAGCTCGTCAGGAACGCGGAGTCTCAGGCCCTGCCCTGGAACCCTGGTCCGGGTCTGCGGTCAGCAGACGCCCCAGGTGACTCCTGCTCCCCGTCAGGAGGGAGAAGCGCTGCTCCAGAGGACCGTCCCTCTGTCCTCGTTATGAGGACGCCTGTGCTGGCTTTGGACAGCTCGTGCTTTTTAAAATCTCACGGGCACTACGACTCTTGCAATTGATCTTGTTTCTCGCTTTGCTAAGAAAAGCAGGTTTAATTCGACCTCAGCGTTGGCTTTCCTGGCCTCCTGTGCATGGCAGGCCGCACCGCAGAGACCAGATAAATACGCGCTTACACGGAGGGTTTCCCAGATGAATTCGATGTGTCCTGACACCTGACAATCCAAACGCCGGCGGGGCCAGGCCGGTGACAGAGATGAATGCAGCGGGCTGGCGGGGCCTGCGATGGCTGGACAACAGGTGCCTGGGCTGCAGGGACAGCTGCTACCCAATCAGCCTCGGCCTGTCCTCGTCATCTAGGGCCAGGCCCAGGGTGGCCAGATCCTGATATTTTTAAGGGAAGCTGAATTCAAATTTTTATGAAATCACCCAATATTAAAACATTGGCAATTAATTAAAACATTAAAAAAAGAAAACACTGGATAAGCCTAACCAAGCATGTTGTGCAGCATCTTGGGACCGAGGGTCGGCAACTTCACATTGAACCCCTCTACTCTTAATGCCTGTCAGACTTGTGAAGGGAGATGAGGAACTTCAGTATAATACAAGGGAAGATACGCTACCTACGGAGTTCGGCCTAAGGGCTTCTTCAAATTGCCCATTGACTTATTCAGAAGTATTCATTGATTCCCTTGTAGGAGCCAGGCTTTATGCCAAGGCTAGGGATAAAACAGTGGACAAGGCAGACACAATCCCTGCCCTCAAAGAGTGTGCATGCTGAGAAGGGGGACAGAGAGACCAGGAACGGCATTTCCAGCAGGGAGACCTGCATGTGCAAAGGCCCTGAGGTACAAACATGTTGTAGGTGGGGAGCAGCAAACAGGTCAGTGCCAGGGGAGCTCAATGCACGATTGAGGGAAGGGTGAAAGGGGGAGGTTGAGGCTAGAAAGTGGGTAAGCAGGCGGGTGATAGTGGCATATACTGTGCATACAGTTAAGGAGCTTGAACTGGGTCCTCTAGGCCTGGAAGGGTCAAAGCAGGGGGATGATATGGCTGGAAATCAGTTTTCCTAAATTCACACCAGCTGTTGAAAGAGGGTGGATTTAATGAGCGGGAAGTTAGGGAGAGGTCAGAAGGCCAGAGAGCAGTCAGGTAGGGCTTGTGCAGTGGCCCAGGAGTAAGATGACAAAGGCTTGAACTGGGACATCGGGCCAGCCAAGGTGTGTCTTTGGGGGCTGCGCAGGAGTGATGGGGCCGTGGGGAGGGAGGGCTGGGGCTCCTGGCCTGGGGCCTGGTGGGCAGAATTGCCGCAGGTGTGCTCAGTTCTGGGCGGGCTGGGCTGGGGGCTCCCTGGGTCCTCTCTGTGGAGGTGGGGTGCAGACAGCAGGGCACTCGGGCCGGGCCCCACTCGGCGCTGGGGCCAAGGCCAAGCCAAAAATCAGGACCTCCTGAAATGCATTTCTTTTTAGTATTAATAATTCTCGCTGTCTTTGTAGCTTTCACATCCTATTCTTCTCTCCCTTTTATCTCCTTGTTTTTGTTTGTGGTCATATTACAGTTCATGGATGTTTCTGTCAGCCTGTAAGTGGGAATAGTGGTAGTATCTACCTCGCAGGGTGCTTGTGAGATTAAATGAGATAATACATTAAAGGGACACAGCACCGCGTCTGGCTGCAGGAAGCACTCATTATCACAACACTGTATGTTATAATAGCACAACCATCGTTAGCCATGATTATTGTGATGATTAACAATGAGCTATCATTATTGTTGTAACTGTGCAAGGATGTCACCTACAAGGCCTCTTGTCACATGTGACCATTAGTTGTGGCCTCTCTCCCGAAACCTCAGGGCTGCCCTTATCTGTGGAAGGTTGTAGATAACAGTGGTTATGAGCACAGCCTGGGAGGTCGAGGCCTGCCTGGGTTCAGTCCCAGTGCCAGAGTGACCTTGGCCAAGTGACTTCATCCCTCTGAGCCTCATCTTCCCCATCTGAGGAGTACTTGCCTTGCAGAGGTGCTGTGAAAATAAAATGAGACAAAGTGTAAAGTACTCAGCATATGGCCTGGCACATAGTAGGTGCTCAATGCTGTGAGCTCTTGGTCTCCAGGCCACCACCATCGGGGGCATGCACTCTGAAATCTGCTGGCCCCCAGCAATACATCGTAGTTCAAAATACATTAAAACAGTTTGCAAGGTGCCTGTAGTGTGCTGAATGGTGACAATCCTCCCCCCAAAATGATCCTAATCACTGGAACCTGCAACTGTGACCTTATTTGGAAAAGGGGTCTTTGCAGATGTAATTAAGGATCTCGAAATTAGGAGATCATCCTGGGTTATCTGTGGTCCCCAAATCCAATGACAAAGGTCCTTGTGAGAAACATACAGAGGAGAACAGGCAGGAGAGGGGAGAAGGATGGGAGGCGGAGGCTGGACGGTGCAGCACAGGGAGTGCCAACAGCAGAAGCAGCCGGAAGCCCCCAGAAGCCCCTGGGAGAGGCAGCAAGGACTCCCCCCCTTTCCCCCAGGCCTTCGCAGGGCGCAGTCCCACCCACACTTGATTTCGGACTTCTGATCTCCAAAACTAGGAGATAATGAATTGCTGTCTTGAGCTACCCAGTGTGTGCTAACTCGTTACAGCAGCCACAGGACACGCATCAGTGCCCTTCCAGAGCTTTCCACCAGAAACCACACGAGGAGTAGGTGAAGCAGGTGGGCGGGCCTGGCCACCCCCATTTTACGGATGGGGACACAGGCTCAGGAGTGGCTTGGAGCCAAAGAGGCAGTGAGCTTTGCTAGGGGCAAGCTGGGATCCAACTCTCCTCCACACACTGTCCCTTCTGGGACACCCCGCCATCGTCCCTGCACCGGGCGCCGGTGGGATACGAGCTGCAGTCGTCTCTGTGACCGGGACGGGCTCCCAGGTCCCAAACAGCTTCTCCCAGGAGCAGGCAAACGGCAGGTGGGGGCGAGGGCCCTTCTGCCAGAGGGCGTGAGCCCTGCCCGGCTTCATCAGGGCCCGGCTCCACAGCGCGGCTTGAAGAGAAGAGACGTTCCTTCAGCAGGGAGGAACCAAGGGGCAGCATTCATGTTCGCTGGTGAAAGGTGCTACTTTGAATAACTTAAGGACAGACATTTGTGATGCAGATACTCCTGGCAGTCTTCCATCTTTCCTGCAGCACAGTGGGGGGGAACAAACACCAACAAGCAAATAAAAATAAACAAATAAATAAGTACATGTTATGGTCTTGAATGTTTGTGGCTGAATTTGCCTTAACTAAATGCTGCCATTGGTTGGCAGGACCCATATGGTAGCCAGCTCTTGTTTATTGGGCACTTCATACATGCTGGGCCTCGCGCGCTTATCTGCCGGCTCGTCGGATCGCCACGTTGTCCTCGTGAGGACATATGATTACTGCCCAGCTTGGCTTGTTGTTTTTTTAACAAAGATCAAGGCCTGGGTGGGTTCGGTGACTCGCGCAGGCCACAGTGATGACGGGTGGAGACAGGGCTCCCGCGGGCCGGTCTGCCCCAGGCGTGTCCTTTCCATTCAAGCAGCTGGGTCTCGAGCGCTCCCCGGGGAACAGGTCCACCTACTCCCGAAGGCCGAGGGAGTGGAGGGGGAGGCCGAAGAAAGGCTGACACATTCATTTTCTCAGGAAGAAATATTCAATAGGGACTTAGGAACCAAAGCCACGTCTTGGCCGTGCGAGAGGCTGGGCCCCTGCGCAGCCCGCAGCCCTGGGGCTGATCCAGCACAGGGAAGGGCACTGCGCTTCCCAGGGACTCTGCCTACGGCGGGGTTCACAGTGCATAGTCAGGTAGAAAACTGAGAGGGGTTCTTGGAGCCTGGTGGATGGGCGCCCGCGACGGAGTTGCTCCCGCCTCCATGGCAGGTCTGGCTCCAGGCTGGAAGCACCTGGGGAGCCTGGCATGGTCCTCCGCCCAGGTGCCCCGCAGGGGTCTGAAGCAGCCGGCCTGGGGTGCAGCCTCGCCTTGCATTCTCCAAACGTGCCCAGGCCACTCGAACATGCAGCCAGAGTGAAGCGCCGCTGTGGCCCATTCACGTGTTGCTCTAAGAGAGCTGGCACCATGGGCCGGTGCTTTCTCCCTGATTTCTGGTAATCCCAGGTTTCCACCCAGTGAGGTCAGGAAGGGAAATATACCTGCAATCCCCTTTTCAAAAAATTAGACTTGGGATTGATAGAGTGTAGACACTGCGCTAACTGGGTTCCCTGCATGGTTTAATTTCATCCTCACAACATTATCCTCACTTTACAGAGGAGGAAGCTGAGGCCCAGAGGGCGGAGTCATTTGCACCAGGTTCCAGAGGTGGTGGGTGGTGCCACCAGGATCCAGACTCGGAGTCTCCTCTCCTCCCCGGCACTGGCGGCTTGCTGTGCTGTGAGTCACACACACGTCCGCTGTGCGTTTTTCATTTCTGTTTGTTAGGGTTGTGACGTGGACCCCAGAGGAGTCAGGGATGTGAAGTGAGGCGTGGGGGACGGGGTCTCCACACCAGCCTCCAGGGGTTCAAGACAGAGTGTGCTCGGCTGGGCTGAGAAGGGGCAGGAGGTGGACAGGCCACACTGATCCCTGAGGCCCGGCCTCCTCTCTCAGCACGGCCCTCTGCTGTCCCTCTAGCCCAGACGTGGCCACCCAGGTGTGGGGGCAGTTGAAGAACCGGGCATCCCCAACTCCTTTGGCATCACTTGGGGGCTCTTCCTGCCTTTAGTTTTAGACCCTTGTATTCAACCCAAAGGTTGTTTATAATAGGATAACCATAACTGAAAATGTAAAACACTAAGGATGCTGCCATTGTTGAGAGTTTGCTATATGTAGCAAAGAATCAGCAAGTGGTAAGAATCAGCACTCCCATTCATTCCTCATAACACACCAGAGAGGATGGTGCAATTATGCCCATTTTACTGATGAGGAAAAGTGAGGCTCACAACTCACATTACTTTCTTCAGATCATCACACAACTAGGAAATGGCAGAGCTGTGGTTTTCACCTGCGCTATTAAATGCTCTGCGGTCTCCGCTGCAAAAGAGAGATTGCTTTTTCATCTGGCCCTGCCCCATCAGCCAACGACCTGCCCGGATGCTCCCAGTGCTAGAGAATTGTAGGTGTCGCCCGTGATTCAGGCAAACCCAGGGTTCGCAGAAATGTGCTTGCTGGTCTCATACCCTGAATCTCAGCTTAGTCTTTCAAGTTGTAAACCACGTCTGTGATCATCTAAATGTAATCTCTTTGCTGACAGGTGAGGAAACTAAGGCCCAGTGAGGCAGGGTGACACATCCAAGATTATACAGTCAGCTCTGGGTGGACTAGAACCCAGGTCTCTAAACTTTACATCCCGCCGTCCATCCACTAAAAGCTTACTGGTTAATTCATTCATTTATGCAGGTATCCACTCATTCATTTGTTCAGTCTGCTGAGTAGCATTTCAGTGCGTTTGCTATGTTATTCCATTTGATTATCAAAACAACCCCATGGGGTCAGTTACACTGTAGCTCTGACAGCAGATGATGAGACTGGGGTTCAGAGAGGTGGAGGGAGCTGTCAAGACCCCAGCGGGCAAGTGTCAGAGCTAGACTTTGCAGCCAGGCCTTTCAAGGGAGGGGCAGTGGCTGGGCAGCCAGGCAGGAGGCAGGGCCGGCTTATGGCATGAGGAGGCCGAGAAGGCCGGGGCTGCAGGGGCCTTCCTGGGCTTTGCCTCCATACTGGGGCGGGGGGCGGAGTCACTGCGCCGGAGTTGGGGGTAGGGGTGGGGCTGGGCTGGCGGTGAAGGGAGGCCGTGGAAACACGTGTCCCTGATGTGGGACCATGAAAGGGATGGCCAAGAACCCAAGGAGACCACGTTGAGCACCTGCCATCTTCTGAGGGGGGTTCCCACCCACTGAACCACGCCAGGGCCACATGGCTGAGCACGGCACGTCTCAGGAGTGTCACCAGGTCTGCAGCACTGGGCAGGCACAGGGAGGGGCTGAGAGAGGAGGAGGGTTCAGGGGCCCTCTGGTTCACATCTGGTCACTCCTACTTGAACTACAGAGCGGATGAATCCATGGCACTGAGAGTTTACAGTCAGCCAGGTTACTGCGGCAGCATTTCCCAGAGCTCGGGGTCTGCAAGATCAGGGAGGGGTGTGCGCCCGGGGATCGTGGGTGGGGACTGCATTTCCTCTTCAATTCCCCTTCAACCCGTCACACAACGGGAGTCTCACCTTGGCGCTGGAGTGTCTCTAACACTTCTCCTGACACTTGCCAATCTCCTTCCACCCCACCCCAAGTCTTCAGGGAGTGACAGCATCTAAGTAAAGGAGTGTGACCTTTTTAGTTGTCATTTTATTTGCACTGTTACCTTCTATCTGTGGCAAATGGTACTGGCTCTTCGGTGATGGCAGGGTCATAAAATTTTTCTTTGAATTAGTGATTTAAGTTTTAAAAGAAAGCCGTTCAGGAGGCGGGTCTGGATCACGAGCACTGCCGGGTCTGTGGCTGCGCATGGTCGTGGGATGGACAGGAAGTCGCTCCGTGGCGGCGCTGACCCCAACTCCGCAGAGGAGCCGGAGGCGGCGGGGAGGCCGACCGGCGGCCTGCAGGGAGGCGGCGGCCAGGCTGCAGCGGCACCTGCCACACCTCCTTGTCTTTGCCGAGGCCCTGCACCGCCTCTGTCCGCATCCTCTGTCCTCTACATGCCAAGCCTCGCTGACGCGGTTCTCCAGGAGAACGCGGCCCCGCACCCCAGCCTCTCTGGACGGCGCGTGTGCTCTGGTCTTGCCGCAGACGTGAGAGACCCCGTCCTTGAGCAGATCGGCCACCCGTGTGTGAGCAGGACGGTGAATGCCCTCAGTTTCCACCCAAGGGACTCCCATGTCCCGGCGTGAGCCCGTCTCACGCTCTGGACGCCCCTGTGGCATGGCCTCCTCCAGACCCGTCCCTGAGGCTGGGTGCCCGCTCTGCTCTCGGCCCTGGGGCTCCAACCGGAGCAGTGTTACCACCCCATTGCGCGCCCATCGCCTCCTCTGACTTTGCGCTCCTTGAAGGCAAAGACAAAGCCATCCTGCACTGGCATTCCCGGGCCTGCTGCCTGGCCCGCGGAAGGGCCCCGGGAAGTTTGCTGGACAACAGTTATAGTTGTAACAGCCGCCGTTTATTGACACTCATTGTGTCAGACAGTGTGTGATGGATTTTATGTATATTCTTCCCCTGAATCCTCACAGCAGCCTCAAGAGTTGAGACCAAACAGCGTCTCCATTTCATGAATGAGGACACTGAGCTCGGAGACATTCAGCGTCTTGCTCGGGGCACACGGTAAGTGATGGAACGGAAGCTTGGACCGACGCAGCCTCTGGAGCTATGGGAGGTGCACCTGGCTGCTTCTCTCTCTCTCTGCCCCCCACCTTCCCTCCACACCCCCCTACACCCCCCACCTCACCTCCCCCCCCACCCCCGCCAGGGACGCACAGGTGTCGCCTTCCTGCTCCTCCCCTGCTTGCTGTTTGCTGACTCGCCCTTCCTGCCTTCCAGGGCCGGCCGTGGCTGCAGCCACCCTCCTGGCCCCACCAGGGCCCCCTGCCCACCGGGAGCCCATTAGTCAAGTCATCCTACAGCGGGATTATGCTGCCGCCACGGTGATATCCAGGCCCAGCTGCCCGGCTCGTGTGCAAATCTGTGCTGATTTGATTAGCTTGTTTAGTCATCGCTGCTGATGAGAGCGGGCCTCGGCCACCGAATGACATTCTGCTGCCTGCGACTCTGTAATCGCTTCTGGAAGGGATATTATGTTAATATCTCACACGAGAGCATCCGATCACGCCGGACGATGGGCCGCCAGGCCCAGGCCATATGGTGCATCGAGGCCCTTCTTTGTAATCCTGGGTAATTGAAATCCTCTGCCTCATTCAAACTCGGGAAGTCTCCATCTGATGGGCAGCAGAGGCCCTTTGGCAATTTACTCGCCGCTCCTTCTGGGGATGGTATTTGGGGCACGATGGCAGTATGGGCAGGGATTTATGCCAGAGAAACTTGACCATTTTTAGAAACAAAGTCTCCGGCACCTGATGTCTAAGAGGAAAACAACGACCACAACAACAATAGTAACTTTCAGTTACTAAGCAATTCTGCTGTTCCCTGCACGGACACAGTAAGGGCTTGGGGGCAAGCTGCCAGGCCAGGCCTGCTCCCATTGGAAAGATGAGGAAGCTGAGGCCCTGGCGAGAAGTGGTGGTGCCAGACTTCTCCCGTGGGTCTGACCCAAACCCTGCTGTCCTCAGTCCCGGCTGGAATGTGTTTTTGGGAATGTCAACAACCCCTAGACAGCTACCCCTTAACGCAGTGCTTGGCAGACTTGAGCAAGTGACGGGACCCCCTGGAGGTCTCATTAAACAAATCGCTGGGTCCCACCTCCAGAGTTCCTGCTTCAGTAGGTCGGGGCGGAACTAGAGAAAGTGCGTTTCTAACAAGTTCCCAGGAGCTGCAGGCACTGCTGGTCCCAGGGCCACACAGTGAGGACCTCTGGCCTGGCAAGTCAGCACCGTAAGCCCAAGCGTGACAGGTAGGTCTTTCACCCCCATTTTTCTGATGAGGAAACTGAGGCTTGGGTAGGTGAATTTGCTTTCCTAAAGTCGCTGAGCTAGGATGTAGGATGTGAAAGGAGGTGCCTGCGTCCACAGCAGGGAGGTCACAGAGCCAGGATTCAGCCCAGGCCTCCTGATTTGTCATCCAAAGATGTGGCCTCAGGGAGGTGGATGTTACATTTTTATTTTGCCTCCACCCGAAAACTGGAGGGTGTGTCCATGCTCGCTCCTTACGGGTTTCCTCACGACCCCAGAAGGTGGCTCGGTTCTCCTGCGGGGCTCTGTGTGGCTGGCACGGCTGGGGCCTGCTTAGTGGCAGGTCGGCCTGTCCTTCCCGGGGCTGGCTGGCGTCTCGCCTTGGAGTCGCCCCGTGCTCGCATGCAGGGACACTAGGCTGGGATGAATGGTGTGAAGGGAAGTGCCTGAACCCTGGGCAGGTGGCTCGTGCTCTATGGGGAAGCAGGGGACTGGTCATTAGGGGTCCCCCTTCCTTACCTAGTGGTCCAGGTCTGCCCAGGCTGGCCAGTGTTCTTTCCCTCCCTCCCCGCCCTCCATGTTCCCACCAGATGGGAGGAAAGAAAGTCGGCAATCCACCGAGCACCACCCCCGGCGGGCGCAGACCCATAGCTCAGCCGGCCAGCCTTGCTCACTGACCTGGAGAAGTAAATGCCTTTTCTGCCAGGCAGCTTGGAGCCGAGGGTGTGCATGGACACAAGGGCCTCAGCAGGCTCAGGTCTGAGTCCCATGCGGCCCCCAGAGCCGTGAGACCTTGGGATGGGGGTTCTCCTCCTGAGCCTCCCTCCATCCCTCCTGGGCGTTTGTGCCAATTCAGGGCGCACTCGAGCCTTGGGACAGTGGACCGCTCTGTGGAGGTGAGCCGTCACGGCTGCCTTAGTGAGAGCAAACCTTCGGACTAAATGGGGAAAGAGGTCACCCCGTCTTAGGGAAACACCTAAGTCTGCTGTCTAAGGCAGTAGCCACTTGCCACACGTGGCTATTTACCTTCAGGCGGTGACGTGACATGCGATGAAACGAAAACAGCTCCCGAAGCACAGTGGCCGCCTCTCAGGGGCTCGGCAGTGGCGTGTGCTGAGTGGTACCACGTTGGACAGCACAGACGGGACGGGGCCACCGTGGCAGGGAGTCCAACTGGATGGCGCTCAGGAGGTTGTGCCACGTCTATTGTTTTCCTGTCCTGACACCACTAATGACACACAGCTGACTGGGAGTCCTCTTGGATCTGCTTTTAGGAGAAAGAGAGAAGCATGTGTTTGAGATCACCCACTACATGATTTAATTAGCTCTTACTTTCTTAAAAACAGATACCTGAAATACTTGAAGAGGTAGCTGAAACAGGTTAGGCTTTCTCCCTCCCACCCTGCTCTATCACTTCCTCTGTAAACCTTCTGTAACGCCCAGGAGCAGCCTGGACCTCCGCTCAGCCCAGGCCGGGAACTGTGTCCCACAGCATCGGTGACATCTAGCTGAGTGGGCTCTTACTGTGTTTCCTGGGCTGGCCCCTCTGCTTCCAGATTGCATCAAGATCACGGGTTCCTCGCTCTCCCGGAGCACAGCCCCACCACGGGGCCCTGCCTGCCATTGTTCTATAGATGTTGGAAAAGCAGAGGCTGACTCACTGACCAGCTGACTGTCCATGAGTTCCAGTCTCCCAAGGAACGCCCCTGCTGTCCACGAGAGCCCTCTGCACAACCTATTAGCAACGATGGCTACTGCATGCGTGTATCTACTGGGGGCTCAAATTCTGCACCTGCAACTTACTGGCTGTATGACAATGAAAGATGTGACATAAGCGACTGGGCTTCAGTTGACTCCTCTGGAAAGTGGGAGTCAGCTCCTCTGTTGTCTCGTTTCCCGTGTGGCGGTGAGTTCACGTGAGAGAGTACAGTGTTTCCCAAACTTTTCTAACCTGTGTCCCTTTTGCTAAACACAAGTCCCCTGCCTTCCTTTCACTCCCCATGCCCCAAGGATGAGTATTTTATGCACATCTACCAGTCAGGAGCACTTTGCTCAGCTTTCCCACAATTTATGTCATGAAATGAAAGGCTTTTTTGTGTTTTCCAAAAATATAAAGTTATATTATTATGCTGGCTCTATTATTCCGACTGTACCCGCCCCCCTCTCCTTGCCTTCCCCATCTAGGCTCTCAAAGGTGGACCCCCATCACAAAGATACCAGGTGGGCGGGGCCTGGTGACGAGCTGCCCGCGACAGGCACCCCCTGAACAGCAGGCCCCTGCGCCCCGCAGAGGAAACGCGACCTGCAGCCAGACCCTGCAAGCGGCGGCCACCCAGCGTGCAATTCCACGCAACTCCACAGACCCCCGAACATAGATCAGGCTCCCTATGACAGTCTCTCTGAGTTTTCCTCACTTATTTTTTAAAATTGCTTTTATTTTTTAGAGCAGTTTTAGGTTTATAGAAAAATTGCACAGAAAATACAAAGTGCCAATACCGGCCTCCCCTGTTATTCTCTCCCAGCTGCCCTGCTATTAATGGACACATCTGGCACTGGTGTGGCACGTTTCTGCCAGCCGGTGGGCTCGTATTGATACACTGTTGTTAGCTGGAGCCCACAGTTTACATTGGGCTAATTCTCGTGCTGCAGCCCACTGGGTTTGACACATGCGCTTTGTCCGCATTCCCCATCATGCCATCGCCCGGAGGAGCTTCTCCGCCCCCAAGCGCCCAGTGCTCGCCATTCCTCACCACCCCACCCGGGCCAAGTGCTCTTCACTCTTTCCTCAAAGTGCTTGTTGCAGTTGTAATGACAGACTTGTGGGATTACTTGATTAACGTCCGCCTTCCCTGCTGGACTATAAGAAACTTCAGGAAGGCAACCACTACCCTGGACTTTTTCAACGTCCCGTTCCCTGGGGTGTATCGGAGCGCGTGCCGCACGCCGGCTGCCTGTAAACTTTACCGCATGAATGGACGGACGCAGGGATGAGAAGGGAAGTGGAGGGCATGGAGGAGGCTGCAGGGAGGCAGTGTCAGGGCGGACAGGAAGTCCCACCCAAATCAGCCTTGCCCGTCCCAGGAGCCTCCCTTATAACGGACAATGAAATCGCAAAGCTGGGCCGTTCCCGAGAGAAGTGGCTGATACGCACATTGGGAGTTATCCTGGCCGTGGGGTGTGGCCCTCCCGGCCCCATCAGGATGACAAGAACAGGAGCAGGGAATTGATGTCAGCAGAGCCAGGCCCCGAAATGGCCTGTCAGGGCTCAATCTGTCACTGTCTTAGTCATTGTGACTTCTGGACTCACCTCCAGATTTTTTGGCCCAGTAAATGATTAAGCAGTTAAATAAAGACAGACTCATTAAGGAAACATGCTTCCCTGCTTATCTGCCCCAGTTACTCCTAAATTTAATCTGTCCATGAGCCAATTTCCAGGACAAACAGGCGCTGGCTTTTTATCTCCGGAGCCTTAACCTTGAAGGCATTCATTGGCTGTGGCTTATCCCGACGTCCCTCTCCCACACCCTGTCTCCTGTGACACCCTTTGGAGGGGTTCCTCCCCCCACGCCCACCCCCAGTCCTGGCGGGCCGGCAGGTCCCGTGGGGCCGCTGGAGAGGGGGCAGGGTGCCTCGGGGCCCATCTTGCCAGCGGGCAGGGCCAGGCCCATGAAAGGTCTCTTTCTTCTCGGTCACACGGTTGCTCCCAGCCCTGGGGGCTCCGGGGCATAATCGGATTGAGTTTCCTTGGCCAACAGGTTGGCTTTGTTCTCTTGTCCAGATTCCCATCCGCTTGGCTCCCCACGGTGCTGCTCAACCGCTCTCTGACCCAGATCCACCGAGGCCGCAGCAGCCTTCGCCTGCGCCCACGAGGCAGCCAGAGCCCAGGGCCTGGGGAGGCTTGCTGGCTCTGAGGGGAGGATTGCAGTGGGGGCCGGGCCAGCCCATGCAGGATTTTCAGATGTCACTTCACCTGTCCCGTGGCTGGCTTCTGGCTCCTTCCCCTGTGCCCCGAGCCCCATCGCCCTTGGAGAGTGAGGATGTCTGCTGCCCTGGGTGTTCCCAGCACAGCCTGAGTGAATGGCTCCCCTGGCGCAAGGTTTGTAATCAGTGGGCCCAGAGGGGACCCTCCTGTCCTTCTCCCAAGACGCTACTGCCCCTCTGAGAGTCCCAGCAGAACACCCACACTCCTTATGCTGGTCCCAGGGAAGGAGGTTGTGTTGGTTAAAAATACCGGGTGGAAATCTCTTTTCCCTGAATGCAGAGAATGCTATTAAAGGGGGATTCCTTTCAGTCTAGCTAGATCCTGGGCAAAGACCCAGGCCTTGCTGAAGAATAAAGAGCGGCCCACACATGCCATTGTGAATTTCCAGACAGAAAGCCAGCACTTTCGGTTTCTTCCCTTCCTGGGCACAGATGGGGCCTGATGGTGCTTGGAACTTGGGTCGGTTGCCTTGCTCACAATCACTCATGCTCTCCTGCTGTCCCTGGGGTTGTGTCTGCGATGTCCCCTTCGTGGGGACAGATGCAGCTTCCCGGGATGCAGGCTGGGAGTCATGGTCCTCCCTGCCCCAGTACCAGCACCCAACTTCCCCCGGCCACTGGGGTCGCTCCAGGAATGGGGCTGCAGTCAGCCTAGTCTGCTAACAAAATCCCATCGTCTGAGTGGCCTAGGCAGGAGGAATTTATTCCTCACAGCTCTGGCTGCTGGAAGTCCAGGACTGAGGGTCTGGCCGAGTTGTTCCAGTGTCGTCCTCTGCCTGGCTTGCAGACAGCTGCCTTCTCTCGTCCTCAAAAGGGTGAGAGAAAGCACCGGTGCCGCTTCCTTTTCCTATAAGGGCACTAATTCCATCACGAGCCCCCTCCCCTCATGACCTCGTCTAAACCTAATCACCTTTCAAAGGCCCCACCTCTCAATACCATTGCATTGTGTGCTAGGCCTTCGACATACACATTTTGGGGGAACACAAACATTCAGTCCACAGCAAATGGGCAGGTGGCCCAGGGTAAGCCAGTCAGCGCCCTCCCCGGCATCTGTCAGGATTCTTCCCTGGCTTTCGGTTTGTTTGTTTGGTTGGTTCGTGTTTAACAGGAAGCCGCAGATCTGTCAGAAGGTAAGGTGAGAGCTGCAGACAGCCACCTTCCTGCTCAGTGGAGGAAGCCCTTTTGCAATTGGAACGAAGGCAGCACATACAGGGACACGGAGGTGGCAGATGGGGAGGTTTCTGATAGCTCTGGCCCCCCTGGACCCAGCAGGCCCTGAGGTCTGCCTCTTACTTGTGTTTTCTGTATTTATTTTTGTCAGCCAGTAAGTCCCCTTCAATGCTCATTCAAGTTCTATTTCTTTTCCTTGCAAGTAGGGGAATGCTGACTACTTCAGGGTCCGCTGACGCGTTGGTTCTTGTCCTCTCCGGAGTTGGGCCGCAGAATGGTAGGGAGCGGAGCCGCCCGGCTGCCTGGACTGGAAGCCTGGTCCCCCCACACGAAAGCATGTGTTACTCTGGGCAAGATCCTCAACTTCCTTGCCTCAGTTTCTCATCTGTAAATTGGGGATAATAAAAGTACCTACCTAGTATAGTTGGGTGTGAGGGTTAATTGAGTGTAGACGTAGCGTGCTTTGAACAGTGCCTGGTGTGCAGCCAGCTGAGTATGCGTTAGCGGTCGTGATCAGTCTCCCGGGGTCTGGTGGCAGGTGAACAGAGCCCGCCTTGCCCCCAGTGCTGCGGGAAATGGAACAAACCCCTAGAGAGAGCAACAGTCTCTCGTGACCTGGTTAGTGGCCAGCAGGCAGATTTCTGGTCTTGCTTGCTGACGGGCCTCTGGGTGCTTGCTGAGTCCTGGGAAATGCCAGGGGTGCTGGCCTAGGTGTGTCTGCTCTGGGCTGCTCCGCTCTGAGCAGATGGCAGCACCAAGGCCGATTTGGGGCCAGCTGGGTCTTGCTGGGGACAGAGAAGTGGAAAGAACCCTGGGCCTGAAACCCAGCAGTTCACCCTAAGGTTTTCTAGAGGAACTCACGCCCATGCGCCCAGGAGGGGTGCTTGGGAATGCCGAGAACAGCCCCGCTGAGATGGCCACCAGCCGATCCCACCCAAAGGCCCCCAGCGGGAGAACAGATACAGCAGTCGGGGCATACGCATCCGATGGACACAGTGTGCGCCGGCGAGAGGGAGAAATTACAGGCACTTGCAACAACAGGTGCGTCTGACATGCGTCCTGTTGAATTTAGAATCACAAGTGGCAGAAGGATCAAAGATGCATTTTTAATAAAGCTTGAAAACAAGCAAATCAAGCACCCTATGGTTTAGAAACGTGCTCACATTTGGTAAAGACAAAAGCCAAGCGAGGGAACGAGACAAGAATGAAATTCGGGCATGATCAGGCGGTGAGGTCCTGGCGGACGTGGTGGAGGGCCAGGGCGGAGTCGGGTGGATGCACCTTGGCTTCCGCGGCTTCGGCACGTCTGGTTCTGCGACGGTGGGTCCACGGCTGTTTGATGCACTGCTATGCTTTGTAACA